GACCCTGTGACATGGGGGAGATATGGAAGAACATGAGCGGAAAGGAGTAAAACAGTGAGGGTGGGAGGGAGAAGATATATGTAATGTGTATGGATAGGTGGGGAGAAACACGTTGTCCACACCTCGGCAAATATGTAAAAGCACTGACTCTGCATGTGAACATCTAGAAGTTGTTGGACAAATTGGTGGCATGAAGCCATTGGGACCATTTCTGTCTTGGATTTCTGTTGGCTAGTCTGACCTTTTTTGCAATAAAATAGCATTAAATTTAAAATGTTGTTATTTCCTTTATTTTTTTTTTTTAAGATTTTATTTATTTTATCGGAGAGAGAGAGAGCACGAGCAGGGGGAGGGGCAGAGGGAGAAGCAGATCCTGGGATCATGACCTGAGCCGAAGGCAGACGCTTAACTGACTGAGCCACCCAGGCGCCCCCCGCTTTAATTACGTTTTATGCCCTCATTCCCACAACACCCACAGACCCCATTCAGTATAATAAGAAGAATGCGAGCAGGTCCTTGGACAGCACTAACCATGTGCAGACACCATCCTAAGGCTTACATGAACTAGCATATTTAATTTTAACTACTGGTCCATGAGGGTGGTACTGGTATCATTCCCAGTTTACAGATCAGGAAGCAAGCACAGAGAGGTTAGGTGACTGGCCTCCAGCCACACAGCTGATCCTTGGAGCACTCTGAGTTCCTAAAGTGTGTCAGACCCTTTTGCGAGGTGCTGACGGGGATGGGGAGAAAGGCAGAGAAGAAAGAGGTGGGGCCGGGGGCACCGGGATCTCCCAGTGTGGCGTCGCCCCAAACTTGGAGGCACCGGGACAGAGGCAGACGCTGGGGCCAGAGCGGCCTCAAGAGGGCAGCAGGGACCAAGGAGCGAGCCTGCAGCCAGTCTGACGCAGCCATTCCCCCCCCACTGGTCAGGTGCCCCCTGGCTTGTCAGTAAACGTGTGGGAAACGGTGGGATTTTGAGGAAGAACTGGCATTGTCCAGCCGACACATCTGCTCCTCACCCCGTCGCTGCGGGCTGCATGCTACTTCTCTCAGCCATCTTTGATGGGGTGGAAACTGAAGCCCAGAGTAGTCAAGTACTTTGCCCACAGTCACACAGCCCCTGATTGGCTCAGGCAGGTTCCAAACGAGGCAGGATGAGGGCAGAGCCGTTGCTTCTTGGAGTCTCCGTGTTCCGCGACCTGGAAGAGGGCTATGCAAATACGGGCAAATGGTGGCCGAGAGTGGTCAGGAATCAGGGCTCCTCTTGGGCAAGTCCGGCCCGCGTCATAGCCCTGCTGTGGGGATCTGATGAGCTCATGCCTCCTTTGCAGTGGCTCAACTTTCGTGGGAAAATAATGTCAGAAAGTTTATTCAACAGGATGTTCATGGAGTTACACCTTCAAAAACAAACATTCATTTTGTGATCGCCCACAGGGAGCCAGGCGGGGGATGGGATTTCCGGTGGTTTTCACTTTCCTCTTTATACCTTTATGTTTTCTCTGAATCGGAGAAGGCCGCACGTGCCAATTTAGTAATCAAAAAACAAACAAACAATAAGCAGGGGTTTTGTGTAAAAAGTAAGATAAAATAAAATATAAAATAAATAAAATAAAATAAAGCAGAGGCTCGCCTCCCCCGGGGGGCGGGGGGATCTTTGTAAAATCAAGGCTGGAAGTGTGTGGGGATGGGGCCGAGGGGGGGCGGGGGGGACCCTGAAATCAACGCATCTCAGGTTGCCCGGGGTCTGCGAGGCCCAGCCCCCTCCTGCCCTGCGCACCTCTGGTCCAGGCCCGCGGGGGCGCTGGGAAACTCCCTCGCCGTCAGCATCTCGCTCCGCCCCCCCACCCCGCCCCCCAGCCTACTTCCAGCTGCCGTCCTGGGCTGGGCCCACCTGATCCACCAGGTACCCCCTCCTCCAACGCTCTTGGGGCAAACGTTTGGTGCAGCCCTTTCCCACCAAGATGTAAATTCCTCCCTCTGGCTCCCATCCTGCCTGACTGTATCTCCCACCTTGGTCCTTGGCTCACTGCGCTGTAGCTGATCTTTTCGAACTGAGAATGTATCAAATTCATTATGCCTCAGGGCCTTTGCACTTGCTTTACCCTCTGCCCAGAATGCTCTTCCTCCAGCACTTCCTGGCTTCTTCCAGTCACCGAAGGTTCAGCTTAAATGTCACCTCCTTAAAGACCTCCCTGTTAGCTCTCCCTACCTCAGACCCCATAGCACTTTTCATAGTGCTTTTCTCCATAGCACCCCTCAGTGTTTGTAACTTTCCCCTTTGTCTATTTAATGACTGTCTCCTGCACTGAACTGTAAGATCCAGGAAGAAAGGGACCTTGTCTCAGTTGCCTCAGCGCCCAGCACAGTGCTGGGCACACAGTACGTGCTCAGTAAATATCGGTGGGAGGTGCAGCTTTCTTAACCACTGCTTCCTCCTTCCCTGTGTTAAGCTGGAGAAGAGCATCTGGGGAAGCAAGAACAGTGGCCTTTTCCCCGGCTTCCCCGAACCTAGGAGGGTGGTTTAAAGCCACCTAAAAAAACGGAAGGGGTCTAATTCTCTATTCCCACCTCCCAGAGCCCAGACGACTCTGTATTATGAGTCTCAGCTGATGACTTGGGTCCCCTTCTCTTGAGATCGTGGGGGAGAGGACAAGGAGATCAGTTGCGCTTCTGTGTTGGACTTCCATCCCAGCCACCCCTCCACCACGCCCACAAACATGTTTTCTGAGACAACGCTCAGGCAAAATGGATTCGAGCTGACATTCACATAGGTGGCTTGCGGTACGAGGAGGCGTACCGTGGTGGCTGGGAGCTCTGCGGTCTGACCTGGGTCAAGTCCTGCTCCAGGTGTCCTCGCTGTGTGGTCCTAAGCTAAACCTCAACCTCTCTGGGCCTGCTTCCTTACCTATAAAATTGGGATAATAATCGCACCTGCCTCCTAGCGCTATGAGGTAGTGGATGTGTATAGCACTTAGCATATTGCGTGGCCCTAAATAGTTATTTTGATTTTAAATTATGTTTTTTATAAAGAGTTCTTGAAGGCATTAAGTCCCCAGGACTAGTTCAAGCTCTGTCATTCACTGTGTGACTTTGAGCAAGTCCCTTTTCCTTTCTAGCACTAAGTTCCCCCACCTGTAAATCGTGGGGTGGGAGGTGACTCTGGCATCGAAAGGCACAGATTTGGGCTCAGGATTTCTAACAAACATCAGGCTGCATGTGAGGTAGTGAGCTCCCCATTGCTTCTAGTGCATTGTGTAAAATGCCAGAACAGAAAAGAACCTCAGACAACCAAGCCACCTATTTTGCAAGTGTGGCCATCAGGGTAGCTACTCAGACACCAGAGTGATCACGGACCTAAGAGCTTAAATCCCATCTGCGTCTTCATGCCGTCCGCCTGGATGTCGAGCATGGATCACCTACAGACAGCCTGGCTAATGGAGACCCTGCCTGGGTTCAGCTATGGATGGGCCCGCCACTAACTAGCTGTGTGACTTGGCAAAGTGTAGCAGCTGCCGGCAATCTCTGTCCGCGTCTCCCTGATGTGCCAAAGTTTGCTCCAGTAGTCTTTACTCTCAGCCTGGGGCCTTGGGGAGCAGCCAGCCGTGCTGGAGAATGAATGCCTATGGAAGGAGCCCTCGACCAGACAGAAGCTGGTGGACAAGCACCCCAGCTCCTTCACCTTTGCAGGGATCCCTTTAGGCATGCATCCTGCATGGCTATCCCAGGCGCCCAGAGGGGTGAAGGTCGGTAGCCCTGCTGGGTAACACACCCTTTCCTACCCCCTGACCTTCCCTGACTCACTGCCCCCTCCTGAGCAAGGTGTCCTGGAGTCACCTCCTAAAGCAACGACCCGTACTTGAATCCCGGTCTCGGAGGAACCCAAGTAGAGACAGAAAGTTACTTAACCTCTTGGACCTCAATTCCTCTGGACGGCAAGATTCAACGAGTTAACAGAGGAGACGAAGTGCTCACAACCAGGTCCAGCAGTATGTTTATTTAATAAGGAGGGGGCGGGGAAGGAGATAAAGAGCCTTTATTTATACAAAACTCCACGCCCTCCTGCTCCACCCTCCCCAGCCTAGACAAATACCAGGTGATATAACAATCTTTGAGATGCAAACAAGCATTACTCAACCTGAGGGGTAGGTCAATGTGCAGGCTTAAGTGTGCCTGGTGTGGTCCGTCTGGAATGCCCAGCACGTCAGGGTCACTGGACCGGAGCCACTCCCTTTGTCTGGCGTCTCTGTGGCTGCCAGCAAGTATCCATGGGGGCACAGAGCGGCCCCGTGCTTCACAGGAGTCCCCAGTCTTACGGTCATGTGGGAACCTGATGGCAACTCGTCATGGCTTGGCGATCACAACCTTCTGTGTCCTCTGGTGTCTGTTGCCCGCATTTGACGAAGCACGCCCTCCCCACTCCAGCCCAGATCCCACCTCCAGTGTCAACCCAAGGGAGGTCTGTTGAATGAATGGGCACCTCTGGCCAAATGACCACCCTTCCCGAACTTTAATGTCCCATCCATTTCCCAAGGCTTCCAAATCCTTCCCCCGTTGGCTTGGTTAGTTGCTGGGCTCAGCGTCCAATTCACGGGCAGCAGCAGCTAATCCCAGGGCTGGGCAAGACATGGTGGACAAAGCAGGCCTGGGGTCAGGGGGGAGGCATGACAGGGACAGCACCCTGGACAAGCTGGGGACCGATGAAGTGGCCAATGGCTGGTGCACAAGCCAAGGGGCCCAAGGAACTCCTGATCTCTGAAGCTGCCTCGACCCCATGCCATCCACTCCCAAGGGATATGCTGAGCCCAGGCCAAGGCTGGGAGATGGGGTGGGGGGTCCGGTCTCTGTAATCCCACGTCAGACCACCTCACCACTTCATACCGGGGTTTTCCAAGCCTTTCGCAAATCTGCCAGCCCAGCCACCTTCCGGGGGAGGCGGGGGAGGCCTGTCACAGGCCTGGCTAAGGCCCTCCCGTGACGGCGGTGAGGGGGGGACACACCTAAGAAGCGCTGATGCACATGGGCTCAATGGAGAGCATGGCCACCTCTGTGGGGGTCTGGCTTGAGCTCTGTGCATTGCTGGGGGCAGGCTGGAAGGACAGGGAGGGCTTGCCCTCCTCTGAGATGCCCAAGGGGGCCAGGGAGGCTGGAGAAAGGCTGGCCTCCAGAGGAGCCCCCCCTGGCAGGGTGTCTGGGGCCCGCAGGGGGCTCACCAGGGGCGAGGACTGGTCTCTGCAGCAGCCACAGCAGGGGCTGGGCACCACGTGGGCCTTGCCACGCTCCTCCTGGCTGTGCCACTGCTTCAGGTGGCCACACAGGTGGCAGGTGAGGGCCGAGTAGACGATGCTGCCGGCCAGGTCGTCCCTGAGGGTGTCTGTGGCCTGCTCCGGGGCCAGCAGGGTCTTGTGGCTGTCCCCTTCCTTCCCCGCCGGCTCCACACCCAGGTGCCCTGGGGCGCTGCCTGCGAGGAGCAAGGCCCGAGGGCTGCGCGCCGGCTCTACGTCCAGTCCGAAGGTGAACAGGGGGACGGGGGCGGGGGCCCCAGGGCCACCAGGAGCGAGGCTCTGGAAGGGTTTGTAGCCCCCCTCCCCATGGCTGGCCTCATCCCCAGATGTCCCCGGGAGCAGGCTGGAGAAGGCCTTGTACCCTGCTTCCCCGGAAGGGCCAGAGCCCGCCACCCCGGTGTCGGGGGCGCAGGCCTGCTGCATGGCGCACACGAACTCCCGGTAGCCGCTGCTGGGGCCCGGGCCGGGGGCCGGGGCCTCCCGGTGCTGGAGGACACTCTGGCGCAAAATCTGCTCCCAGCTTTCTGGCTCAGGCCGGGGGGCGGAGGGGATGCCGGGGTCTGCTTCCCCAGGGCGTTCGGCCAGCTCTGGGTGGCAGTCACCCTCCCCGGGGGCTGCGGACTGGCCCAGGAGGCTGCCGAAGCTGCGGTACGCGGGGTTGTCTGTGACGACAGGGGGCATCTCCGTGAAAGCCGGGCTGGCCGGCCTCGGGGTTGGAGAGGCCCAAGGAGTGGACTTGGGGTGCAGAGGCTGGGGCCCCGCACCCGGGAACTCAGCCCAGGGCATCTGAGGGCACTCACTTCCTAGAGGAGGAAGGCAGGACTCCTCCGAACCCTGTGGGCAAAAGCCCCCAGGCTCCCCCCCGAGAAGGTCCAGGAAGAGGCTTTCTGTCAGCCGGGCTGCGATGTCCTCCCTGCCCTCCTGGAGGCTGCCCCCGCTGCCCTCGGGCGATGGGCAGAAGCTTCTTTTATCTTCCTCCATCTCCTCCTCCTCCTCATTCTCCACCGGGGCCTCAAAGAGCTCCACACGCTGCACCACGCTGATGCTCTCTGGCCAGAGGATCGTCTTGCTGACCTCCACAGGGCACCACGCTGATTTTCCAGGAGCCTGGAAAGGCGCATTTCTGGCAGTCTTAGAGGAGTCCTCGTCCGTGTCCATGCTGTGCTCCAGTAAACAGGGCAGGAGCTTGGTAAGACAGGTCTTCCAGTGTCTTCGAGAGCAGAGAAAAATTTAGTCAGGATTCATTTTCTCCGCTAGAAAAACTCCTATTCACCCTTCAAAACTTGGCTCTGAAACCATCCCGGACTGATGTCTATCTATTGCAGACATGCCTCCTGACTTCATAATGAATAATCTATCAGTCTATCTCCACTACCACACTGGGAACTCCTTGAAGGCAGGGCCTGTGTTTTATTTTGGGATTTCTGGAGGCCGCCCATAACCTGGCAGCTAATACAAACTCAGTCTACTGAATAAGGAAAGGTCTCTGTCAGGGACGATGATATTTAAAATACTTATCAATTTAAAATATTTATCAATACCACAGCATAAGTAATGACTGTGGCCGCAGAGTCCTAGGCTGGGGCCGTGTGAGGGAGGAGCTAGAGGTGATGGAGGTGTTGGGAGGCCAGGGTGATGATCAGATACTCAAGGATTCAAGATGGCGGTTCTCTGCCAACCAGTATGTAATTATGCCAACATTGTAACCACTGTTCAGCCTTCACCTCTATCAGCCTTGCTCAGGCCAGACTGACATTTCCAAGGGGGTTCAGCATGGGTCTGACCCCCCTCCCAGTGAAACTCAGGGGGCTTAGCCACCATGCCCGCCTCCCCAGACCACCCCTCCTCCCACCACCCCTCAAAGCCCAATGTCACAGGACAAGTGCTGAATGCTAAGGAGGAAAAGGCAGATGTGGAGGTAGGGTGTGACCCCACTCTTAAGGTGGGCCCACTGCCCCAGTTCCAACCCCTTCCAAATCCACATAGGCTGTGAGCCAAGTTCATATACATACGGGCACTTAGCTGGTTCCTGGCCTCGGGACCGCTTCCCCCACAGTGACACCTAAAATACGGAGACAGCCAATGAAACAGGATGGAGAAGGCTTGTAGCCCAGCCTGGCACACAGCAATGCTCAGTGAGTGTTTGCTGCAAAAAGGCGGTAAAGATTGACATCATACCAGCCAGAGGTCCAATCGGGTCACTTCAGCTCTCTGAGCCTCAGCATCCTGGGAATCAATGATACTGCCCTGATACTAAGTTGCTGGGGCTGATGGTAAAAATGGCCACCGTCCTCTGAAGCTCTTCCCACCCCTTGAAACTGGCCTCACCAGGCGACTCGCTTTGACCAAGAGAATGCCTTGGAAGTGACACTGGGCCAGCCAGCTCGGGGATGACAGACACGGCTTAGTCACCCCCATGCCCCAGTTAAGAGGCAGTCAACTTCCGGATCCGAAGGGGCCTCGCCCGGATCCTTCTACCCACACCAGAGCATGGAGCCCAGACTGCCCACCTGCACAAGCAAGGGCTAAATCAGTGGTTGTCATTTTGACTCTCTAAATTGTGGGCTGATCTGTGACACAGCAAAGCTCCCTTCCCAAGGGAGGTAAGAAACCAAGTGACCGACCCAGAGGAGCCAGCTCTGGCTGAAGAGTGGCCATGGGAGCCAAGGGGCGGGGAGCGAAGGCCTCTGGGCTCCTAGTGACCACACAGAAGCTACTGAAACCCTGGAACCTTCCTGACTTCCCACGGGCAGTTCCAAAAGCCACCCGAGATCCTTAACATCCCAGCCACTTTGACTCCGATCTCCTGCCGCACGCAGTCCGAAGCATCCTCCCCAGCCCACGCTCCTACCTGTGAGTCCTGGATGACTATGGCCACTAGGGGGCTGTGGGCTGGGTTCGGAATCTGGTCCCACCATCCTTTCTTAATCCTGAAAAAGAAAAGGAAGAGGTATTGGATGTCATGGCTAGGCTGGTGCTCCTTCCATGATGGGGTCAGAGACCACGCTGAGTGGTTCTCAGATGTCTTGCCCTAAACCCATTCTACAGAGGAAGAAACTGAGGCCCAGAAGGGAAGTGACCACTGGACTGTGGGCAGAACAGCCAAGTTTGTGCCCCGGGAGGATGGGTTTACTGACGTGGCCACCACTGCCCTCGGTGGGAACAAGCCCCAGGGAATTAGGAGAAACCCAAGCGGCAGAGAGAGAATTCTGGGTTTCCCCATCAGCGATAGTCTGAGAAGCTGAGGAGACCCGGAGAATCTGCCCGGGTCTGTCTGGAGCCACAGAGTGTTGGTGCTGGGAGGGGAGGGTCTCCGATCACCTCTGACTGGCCCTCATCCACTCCACTCGGTCAGGCGGCGTGCATTTACTGAACACCTACTATGTGCCACTCACTGGGCCAGGGCGTTGGGAACACAACAGTGAACAAGACAGACAAAATCCCTGCCCTTGCAGAACTGACCTTCTAGAAGAGACGAGACATCAGCCATAGCTACTTAAGTGTCATGAATAAAAATAAAGACGACGGGGAAGTGGGGGGAATGGAGAGTGTGTTCCAAGAAGGCCTCTCTGAGGAGGTGACTTCTGAGTGGCAACTGAAGGTGGAGTGGGAGCCACAGAGATGCCCGGGGAAAGGGACTTCCTGGCAGGAGGGGGGACAGGTGAGGGGGAAACTGAGGCTCAGCGAAGGGGAGAAGACCAGCCCGGGGTCATGCAGAACCATTAGTGACATGACACGAAGAGGGGAGCCTCTTCATTGTGTGGCTGCAAAGTGCAAGACGCCTTCCCTCAGTCAATCCCCAGCCATCGCTAAGCCTTATGGGGTGAGCCAGGGCTCACTAGACCCATTTCAGAGATGGGAGGTCTGAGGCCGTGAGACACCAGGATTCCAAGGGCCTGAGCTCACTGGAAACAAGGCTCCTCTACCCTCCCCACCCACTGTGATCCAGGACTCTCTTGGGACTCTTAGGACTCATGAAATACGCTCCTTCAACCTGCAAAGGAGGGACCCAAGATGGACAGAGGGTCAAACCTCTCGTCGGCCACAAAGCTACCGAGCTCCAAGCCCAGGATCTGAACCCAGATCTCCAGACTCCACTGAGGCAACTGTCTAGCATTCCTCTTTCTACTGCCACGTACCCCTTGTGTGTGAACCACACCCTGGGTACCCAGGGTGACCCATGTCCCTTCTGCCGGAGGAAGGTCTTTCCCCAGCTCATTCTCCCCCGTCAGGCCTCAGCTCAAAGGGTCCTGCCTGGCCTCCCCATCCAACACAGCACCCCGAACATTTCTCCCCTTCACCCTGGTAAATTCCCTTCAGCACATGGATCGCTATGGAGACCACCTGTGGTTACTGGTTGACTTGGCGTCTTCTGTCTCCCCACAAGGAGCACGGCGTCCTGGTCAGGCTTGCTCTCTCGGCTGTTGCCTCAATGCCCAGCACATAGTAGCTGCTCAATAAATACTTATTGTTGAGCAAAGGGACCGGAAGCTGACAGGTCAGAGGGGGCTTCCCACCCACCGCACACCCCGGGGCGGCCGGCTCGGTGGCATCCCGTGCCGAAGCCCAGGACTCACTTGATGATGCTGATGTAGCAGGACAGGCAGATGGCCAGGATGACAAGGCAGGAGATGGTGACGCTAAGCGGCAGGTACTGCTCCCAGGGCTCATAGTCTGGAATGGGAGGGAAGCCGTGAGCGTGCATCATGCGGGGTACCGCCTGCTCTCTGCCTCCCAGAGCCGGAGACCGAAGCCTTGGGAAAGGGTCGTCTGAGACCCTGCGTGAGCTGGCCACCACCAGGCCCTCCCGCCTCATCCCTTCCTTCTGAGTCCTTGTCACATGGCTGCCTCGCTGTCCCCTGCTCCTCCAAAGCTCAGTGCCACCCAGGATCTTGAACTTCCTGTTCTCTCTTTCCTGGAGCCCAGAGGTCAAGAGCAGTGACTCTGGAGCTGGACTACCGGAGTTCAAAGCCTGACCCTGTCATATCCTTGCTGGTGACCCAGCTTCTCCATGCCTCGTCTGTACACTGGGGTTAATAGACCGCTGCATCACAGGGCTGTCGTGGGGATTACACGACGTAATACACAGAGCACTCAGAACAGGGCTCACCTGTCCGGAAGCCTTTGCTGGGCTCCGTGCACAGCTGGCTCCTCGTTCATGCCACGGTCACCTGCTCCAAAAAGTTCCCTCACGCCCTCTCTCCTGCTGCCCCCTCCCATCCCCCCGTGCCCTCACCCCGCTTTATTTTCTCTCCAGACCTACTGTCACCTGGATCAAGATCGCTCTGATTTGTTTTTCTGTTTACTTGTTTAATTTCTGTCTCCCCTCCAGAATGTCAATCCCACAAGATCAAGGGTCTTTGTCTGTTTTGTTCACTGCTGATTCCCCGGGGTCGAGCCCCGGGCCAGGCATGCAGCAAGAGCTCAATACATATTTGTGGAAATAACGAATGAGCGTCCAGCTCGTCATATATGTTCCATACAAGCCATTTCTCTCCCCTTCTCTTCCCTTCCCCAGGTCAATGGTAGAATCAAATCAGGGTGATGCAACTCTGCCCAGCACTTACCGTGTGCTTGGTGCTGTGCCGGGCACCAGAGGTACAGACCCAGAGTGGACCTTACCTACGGAGCTGGCAGCCCACAGATGGGTCAGAGACAACCACGGGACAAGATGAGCAATGCGGAGAGGGGCGTGGGGGCGTTTGGTTGGGGTACCCACCAACGGCCACTGTGCCCAGCACTTTGAAGACCCCTTCTCTCGGTGAATCTTGACAACAGCCCCTATTCCTCCTCCATGGTATAGACGGTGCCTGAGGCAGCCCCCCCTACCCAACAGCTACCCCCCTCTTCTTTGCCAGGGAGGGAGCAATGTGCCCACCCTGGGGTCTGGGCCAGTCATAATTATCCCCTTCTCCTTTCCAGGAAGCTTCCAGCCTCCCTTGCAGCTGGGAGAGGCTCTGTGACAATCCTGGCCAATGAGATGCAAGGGGGAGTCCGCTAGGGAAGCTTCCGGTAAGATTTTTGCTTCCTGATAAAAGAAAGAGATGCACCAGGTGCACTTGCTTGTGGCAGCCTTTCATTTCTTTTCGTCCCTGGGGCAGGAGGGCGTGGACAGCAGCCACCTTGGGGCCCTGGGGTAACAAGTCAAAGGATAAAACGCTCCTATGCTAAGGAGGTTAACAGGGAAAGAAGACAAGCCCCTGGGGTGACATCACTGAGCTGCTGTATAAACTAGGGAAGGTCCCCTTGTAAGACTTCACATTACATGGGATAATTCAATGTTTCTATTGCAAAAAGCCACGAGGAACAGTGTTGCAAACAGCGGTTGGGGGATGCAGCTACTGAGTGAGGGACTACATGTCCCAGAATCCCTTGCAGCTATGTGTGGCCATGTGACCGGTTCCACCAGGAAAATCTGAGAGGAAGTGGTATGTGTCACTTCCGGGCTCTGGATTTTTAAGAAGCAGGTCTGGTTTCAGCCCCTTCTGCTGGCTAGATGCAGGTGATGGTAGGGCCCTAGAACAGGGATTCTCAACTTGGGGGTTCACGGATCTCCAACAAGGTTGCTGATAGAATTTGGGGGTCTGGGAACTTGATGGGAAAGAAATAACCTCTTTATTTTCACTAGGTTCTGATACCTCGCATTTCCTCCCATTAGGGATGGAGACAGCAAAGCACCATAGTAATAGCATCAGCCACAAAGCACCAACAGAAATCAACAAAATATCATTTACGCTCACCTACTCTGAAATGACAGTATTTAGAAGTACCACTAGATCTTGTTTTTACAGTGCTAATTAAGAAAACCTGTATTTGTAGACAACAAATATATTTTAAAACATTTTTATAACCTCATTTCAATAAAGTTAGTTTCCCCTGTAATCCCACATATTTTATTTTTTACATTTGAAAAACAGTATTCTGAGATGGAGTCCACTCACCGGACTGCCAAAGGGGTCCATGATACACAAGGGTTAAGAATCTTTGTCCTAGGGAATGAGGGAATCACAGGGAGGAAAACCACCCACAAACCAGCTAAGTTCATGCCGGACAGTTACGTGAGCAAGAGATACATTTCTACCATGTTTCTACTAGAACTTGTGAGCTCATTTGTTACTGCAGCCCAGCCTACCTACCCTGACCAGTACACGAGGTCAGTCAGTAATCCTGTTACCCACAGTTCGAGGCACTCGATGCGATGGAAACGCGGACGCTCAGCCAGAGGAAGTGTCTGGCCACAGAATAAAAGTGCCGAGCAGACGTTCCACCTGCCCATGCCCCCCTGTGGACACTCACAGTTAAGCCACGTTGTGCTGGGGCTCCACTCACTCCACGTGCTGTTGTAGCTCTGAGCCCAGGCCCTCACTCGTGCGCTGTAGGATGCTCCAGACTTGAGGGTGCTGGCCGCCACGCGGAGGGCAGGCCCCACGTAAGTCACGTTATAGACTTTGAACTGGTAGAGGAAAGGGACACATTAGGGCTCCAGCTTGTGGGAAGAGGACGTCCCAGCTCCCACCCTGGCTGCCGTCTCCTTAGCTGAGCCCACAGTGTTTAAGAGCCACCAGCCTGGGCATCTGGTTATTCCTCTGATTTAGGCCTTTTGTTTCACCATGACTGTGACCAGAGTCAAGCGAGAGGAGTCAGGGAATTGGCCCTCACCCTGCTCCACCTCCCCCCCACCTGGCTCCCTGATGAGTAAAATGAGGGAAGAGTCCCTACTGCCACTTTCTAGCTGTGGGACCCTAGGGAAGTGACATAACCTCTCTAGACCTTGATATGATCCTTCTGCAAGATGGTGATAATAGAAGTCCATACCCCCCAGGGTTGTTGTGAGGGTTAATATGGGTAAGCACGGAGGACAGGGCCTGGCATGCAGGAAGCATGACAGAGACCTTTCTAGAGCACAGAAAAGGTCACCGTGTCCCCCTCTCCTCCGTGGGCTCTCTGGAGCCTTCATACTCAAGCGTAAACCCTGGCCTAGAATCTCAGCCCTGCTCCCACTGCTGGGAAGGGACTTCTAAGACCTGTTATTCAGTGAAAAAGGTAAATGAAAATTAGCATGTGTTGTGTGCCATACACACACACACACACACACACACAAAAGAAGACGGACTCTAGGATGGCCCCCTGATCCCCACTTTGTATCACACTCCTGTGTAACCCCCTCTTCTTGTGTGGGCGGGGCTTGTGACCTGCTCCTATTCAACAGAATGAGGCAAAGGTGGTGGGTAGGTAGGGACCACATGCATGGGGTTATATCGCGTAAGGCTGTAATTCCAATGAGCTAGGAGATGCTCTCTCCTCTGCTGGTTTTGAGTCGACAACAGGAAAGGAAATGAGGGCAGCCTACCACCAAGGGCCAGTGAGAACCTGTGGCCCCCAGTCCAGCAGCCTGCAAGGAACAATGCCGCCAACATTGCGGTTGGCACTAGGGAGAGGTCTTTCCCCAGTTGAGCCTCAGAGGAGACCACAGCTGCAGCCGAGTCCTTTCATACCATTTGAATTTTTTACTACAACGAAGTACTACTTTTATTTAAAAAACAACTTTAAAAAATGAAATAAAATCTGTGTTCCAGATCGATTCTGATGGAATGGGAGTAGGCTGAATCCTCTGCCGGGGCGCCTCTCCCTGCCAGGCCCATCCCTTCGCAGCTGTGCTTCTGCTTGTGGGTTGGAAGCGTATTTGGAGAAACATGTCTGGTGTAAAGTGAGCCGAAGGGAGGTGTTGCAAAGAACCCCAACAGGTCGCTGGAGAGACTGGAGGGCAGCTGGAGCTTCCCAGTGGAGTGAGGCTGGGGAGGGGGCTGAGGGAGGAAATGAGGGCAGGAAGATGAGGACACGCACTCTTCTCTTTCTAAATATGGGTAAGCGGGAACGAACAGCTGGACCTAGTTCTCCAAAGGAACTGTACACCCTGGAGAGGAGTAGGGGATTGGGAAATGTTTTACTAAGAAACGGAAGTGAAATCGGAGCTACCAAGGAACTACTTGTAGCTTGTGTTTCAACAAAGAGGCCAGGTGTTTGGGAGGCCACCCTTGAGACAAAGATCCAAGGCGGGAGAAACAGCACAGGCTCCGGAGTTCAAATCCTGGCTCCCAACCCCAGCTCTGCCATTTCCAGCGACCCCGGGCGAGTATGTCTATATCCCTGTGCCTCAGTTTCCTTGTCATTAAAGTGGAGAGACCAGCACCCTCCCACCTGCTGGGCTTTCGCAGCTGACAGTGATCCAGGTTGAGCCTAGCACATTTCAGGCACACAGGAAATGGGAACCATCATGACCACGAGCGTGGCATTCATGACCCTGCACACACCACCACATCCCCATACTCCTCAAGAGATGCCACGCAACTTTGTACCTCCAAGCCTTTGCTCATGTGGTTCCCTCCATGCAGCCTACCCTTCCCTTCCTTCCCTATCTAGAAAACTCTTATACACCCTTCAACACCCAGGCCAAAACTCCACCTCCATTATGGAACCTTGCCCAGAAGTCATCCAGGACCCTGAGTAGCTTTATCCCTCAAATCCCGGAGCAAACTTCTAAGATGTCTCCTTAGAACTGATACCACCCGTGGAAGGCACAGCATGGAGACTACAGGGAACCTTCTGGCTCCAGTTCCAGTACTAATCCTCATTGGTTGAGACCAATCGCAGCCATTCTATTCCCTAGCCTGTGATTGATTAGAGAGGAGCATGTGACCAGCTCTGGCCAATGACCAATAAGGGGAATTCTATAGGTTGGGTCTGTCCCCGGGGAAGGGAGGGATGGGTGAGGGGTGTCTCAATAGCTTCTTCCCCACCAACAAGAGAAGCTGGACCCAGAATCTGGAGGCCCTGGGCAGCACTGGGTGTGTATATGACAACTGAGTCATGGCCTGGGTAGACTGATCAGTTTTCCCTGCTGGCTGGAGTCTGGGGCCAGATCCCAAACCTGACTGTGTCTCAGCAAGCCCTGTCCCTGTTTTTCCTTCCCCGGAGTTTCCTCTGGGGAGCCACCCCTTCCTCATTCTCCACCCATCTGGCTTGGGTGGAGCTGACCCCACCTGCAGGTCCAGGGGTGGGCACGTGACTCACCTCTGGCCAATCAGAGCACAGCACCCTCTTTCCTGCCCACAGCCTGGGCCAGGTTCAGAGATTTGCATGGGACCCAAGCCAGGCAACTGGGCATTGGCCCCAGAACTTTTACTGGGACTCTGGGGAAAGAAAAGCCTTTCCCACTGTGGCTTGAGCAGGTAGCTAGCATGTAGCATGGAGCTGCTGGTGGATATACTGGCCACTACACGAGGGAAGAGCCTCCCTAAAAATGAAGCCAATACAGAATAGAGCGGGGGCCAAGGGCGGGATAGATTCCCGGAACCTGGAGCCAGCCACAATAAGCAAATAAGGAACATTGCTTTGGACCCTATAGGTCACACCCTTCTCTACCCTCTTAATAAGCCTTGCACTTCCCAGAACATGGGGAGGGGATTTCCCTACAAAATGGAGCCTGCCTCTGTCTTTGGCATCTCTGCCTTTGGCCTCTGTGCGGCCCCTCCCAATGCTTTCTGGGCCTCCGCTGTGAGAGCCTCACTGCCCCATTCCCGCTCCCAGCCCACACCATGGCCCCACGGCCCCATGCCAGGCGGGAAACCACACCTGAGCCCGAGAGCTATGAATCAACACACACCCCCTCGCTGGCTGAGGGAGGAAGACAGGAAGCAGCCAGAGGCTGATGTGGGAGTTTAAGACGTGTGCAGCCTGCTCCCTGGCAGCAGAAGCCAGGCCAGCCTGGGTCCCAGGACACCGGGCGTGCCTCAGAGGAGGCCCTCGGCGAGTCTGATGTAGCCACTTCCAGACCAAGGTGTGGGAGGGCAAGGCAGATGGGGCGTTCCAAGGCCTGTGGCACTCGGGAGAAAAGGAGACCAATGTGGACGACACACTGGGTGCCCGGCACACACTCAGCACCCTTGGTAGCCCATGGAGTAGGTACTCTTGCTAGCCCCATGTTACAGATGAGACAACTGAGGCACGAGGAGGTTACGCGACATGACCAGGATCATGCAGCTGATGAGTGCAAGCAGGTAATGGAACCCAGCTCTGTGCGGTTCAGATGCTGTCCCTCCCCTGGGAATGTGTGAGGGGGAAATGGGGGTGGCAGGAAATGAGTTTCATCCCCACCAGAAACTAAAAAGGAAGGGAGCCAAGCCACCTGCTGCGTACAGCCCCTGCTAGTATTTACTGGATAGTTTGCTGGCCATCAGTTCTCCCTTTTAAAAACCTGTCACCACCTTCATTTAAAAAGCAACCCCGCAATCACTGTTGTGATGGCAAAGCTCGTAGCAGATGTCATTAGCATCCTAGAAAAGTCAATGCAATGAGGACTGAGCGACAGTATTAAATGATGGCTGAACTGGTTCTCTGGGGAGGAAGGCTCTGAGCCTGCAGCCTCCTCTCTCCATGAAAAAGTGCTGAACCCAGCACAGAGCCAGGGTGGAAGTCGGGCTCTAGGTCCCCGGTTTGGCAGTCAGGCCTCAGGGCCCGAGTCTTCACCCGCCTGAGTCCCAAGAGGTGTGGAGAAACCCCCCAGCGCACACACTCACGTCCGTGGGGTCGTTTTCATTGGAAATGTTGACCATGTAGGTGAGCTCGGAGTACAAGTGATTCTCGCTAGGGTACGGGTTTGTCCACATCAGCAGCCACGTGTGGGAGACGTTGGGGTGAACCGTGAGGTTCCCGGGGGTCCTGGGTTTCACTGTGGAGAAGCGGTGCCTGGTGAGGCCCTTGTCCAGGTGCGGGGAGGGGGATGGCCCGCAGGACACCAGTCACTTAGATTGTTAGTCAACCTGGGGGGCGCCTGGGGGGCTCAGTCAGCTAAGCATCTGACTCAGGTCATGGCCTCAGGGTCAGGGGCTCGAGCCCCACGTTGGGCTCCTTGCTCAGCGGGGAGTCTGCTTGCGATTCTCTCCCTCTCCCTCGCCCTCTGTTCCTCCCCTCTCTTTCTCAAATAAATAAATAAATAAATCTTTAGATTTTTAGTGAACCACACCTCCGTAGCACATTTCTGGAATCCCACATGGATTGAGTCTCAGCAGAGAACGACAATCATAATACTGATTATAATGTTGCTAAAACTCTACTTAGCACTCATGGTTATTAACCAGCTTTCTACAGTGAAATGCAAAATGTGTGAGCCAAAGTAACCCCAAATTTGCCTTTTTTTCACCTTTGTCCTTCACACTTTTGGCCACATCTATGTACTATGTTCTTACTTTTTCTTCCATTTCTTTTGATTCATGTGTTTTAAACTTAGTCTCCTTTTAAGCAATCCTATCCAGGAGATCATAGGTATGTAACATGTACCAAAATCACTGCACACGTGCAGAAATGCTTTTAATTCCTGGGTTCGTTCACGGGTCTGTTTAAACAACCCACTGACCGCGGGCGGCATGAACGGGCCCTTCAGGAACTGCTGAGCCCGTGAACTCTGTGGATACCCACGAGAATTTTCCTCTGATTCTTAGTAGCTATGTGACCTGAGGCAAGTTTACTTGCCTTCTCTATATTATATTCAATTGTAAAATGGGGATAACTCTCTTCTGGAAAACGAGGCTCAGAGAGGTAATGTGACTTGCCCAGGGTCACACAGCAATAAACGGTGTTTTAAACTCCCGTCACTACGCCACAGCAGAATCACGGTGAACTGCGGCGGGGCCTCTGACTACCAGGATAACGTCAGCCTTCCATGGTCCAGACTGCCTGAAGAAGCAGCAGCGGACCAGGTGACAGAGGGTGGAAGGCCAGTGCCCAGCTCAGTTTTTGCTCTGCAGCCAGCTTGCCTTCTGTTAAGTACGCTTCATCTCAAGTCCCCAGTCTGGGCACTTAAAGTCAGGTGGTTGAAATATAAAAGCTGAAGAGGACCTGATGTACTATGGAGCCCAGTCCCATTTCAGAGATGGGAGGACTGAGGCTCAGAAAGGGGCAAAAACCTCATCATGTCTGGGAATACGCAGAAGACTGCTTGCACCTCGCTCCCCCAACTGGAGGCTGCCTCCCCTGCCCCAGAGCCCGGCTGGGGTTTGGGACCCCCACCCCCCGCTGGCCCCACTCACCATGCGCGCTGGGCTGGAAGGTGCCGCCCCACAGCTGCTGCTTCCCAGCCCACAGGTCCAGCTGATAGACGTCCGCTTCAACCACGTCATCTATCGGCATGCTGCATGTGCACACCGCGCCTTCTCGGTTCTCGGGGACACACGTGCGGTTTCTGCAGACACGGGTGTGCCGTTAGGTTGCCATGTTCAGGCGGACCGTGACCCACAGGTATCCCTAGAACATGCCTCAAGGAACATATGTTCATATGCTCTGCCCGCTTCCTGACTGCCCTGCCCCCGGGACCAGCTCTGGGGACCGGGGTGTGGTGAGGACAACAGACAAGGACCGCTCTCCTTGCTGGCCAGAGCCACCTGCCACACCCACCATGGACTCTTAGGCAGCTCTGGCCGTGGTCGTGGTCCTGGAACTTGGCTCACCCTTGAAAGCCAGTGAAAGGGAAGAAACGAAAGCACTAAAGAATTCGTAACAATGTGTGTATGTGTCCCAGTGTGCCTCCGGGTAGCACGGTTTATCCCAGTGGACAGCGGGCGGTAGCATGCTGCCCCACATCTCATGGGTGAGGCTAGGGGTCAGCGAACGTTTGCTGCAAAGGGCCAGGCAGTAAATATTTGGGGCTTTGAGGGCCATACTGTGTGCGTCCCAACTATTCAATTCTGCTGTTGTAGCCCAAATGCAGCCATAGACAATACAGAAATGAATGGGTGTGGCCGAGTGCCAATAAAACTTTATTTACAAAGGCAAGTGGTGGGCCGGATGTGGGCCTCGGGCCATAATCTGCAGATCCCTGGCCTAGGCCAGTGTACCACACTTCGAAGCACAGCCCATCCAGCTTGGTATACCTTGGAATGCCTCTGTCAGTGGACCCTATGTCTGTATGGCATACGCCAGGGTGCCCTTGTAACTGCATGCCTTGGGTACCCGATCACGTCCTGAGCACCGCCTGGAAGAATACCGCAGGTGCCATGGATTATCCCAGTGACCCACCTGGAACAACGTACCCCGGGTTCCATGGTCCACCAGACATCACAGTGAACTCCACCACTAACACACTATCCCCAACCCTCTGGGCACAGCCTCCCCCAAATCCCAGCTCCACCCCAGGCTTACTCGGACCCCATGAAGTCCAGCTGGTAGGACAGGCGGAGCTCGGCACTGCAGTTGGTGGGACTGTCCATCTCCCACTGACAGACAGAGGTGCTGACGTAGTCGGACAAGCAGCTGGGCTCCTGCAGGACCTTAACACTCCCTGGGGAGACACAGGAGTGCCCTGAGCAACCAAAGCCAGACAAGCAAGGGGGGCATGCACCAGGGGGACAAGTTGGAAGCCAGCCCAGACAGGACCAAGGAGTCCATCACAAAACAAGGAGACCACAGTCCCAGGCACAGTTGTGTGCCAGTCTTCATGGAGCTGGGGGCAGGATGGGGCTCTGGAGCTTCCCAGCTGGCATGGGGGAGATTCCTGAAGCCGAAGAATACCCCCAGGTGGTAGGGGCTACCTTTATCTTCCCGAAACTCCACTACTTGCCCCTATGAGGCCAAATCAAAGGAAATTTCTAATCTAAGAAATGTCTAGTCTATTGCACTGTCACAGGCACCTGTCCCAGAGCAGTGTGAGCGAGAGGAAGGGCTGTTATCCATTTGCCTGCTCCCTGCTCCCATCTATCTTCCACCCCTCTCTGCGCTCAGGAGGCTGAGCCCCCCCCCCCCGCAACCATGGTCTTGCCACTCAGATGCCCTTGTCCTCTGGCTGCCGTCTGGGTTCAGCCAATATCAAGGGCAGGATGAAAGGTTGGGCTGTTTCTCACGACCGGTCAGTGGCAGAGCTGGGGTGTGAAGCTGGCAGGATGGATACTGGGTTTGCCAAATCATCCGAGAGCACTCACCCTGGCTCAAGACTGCCCAGCCACAGACGGGCAGGTGCTTTCTTGCTCTGGTGCCCAGCACCAGCCCCGCCACCGCGGACATCAGTCTGCATTTGTTTGCTGGATGAAGGACTAATCATGTTAGGCAGAGCCTTAGATTTCTAATAGATATCTTAAACTCACCTCGTGTCCAAAACTCACATCTGGTTCCCCACCCTCCCAAGCAAGTGCTCCCTACTCTGCTCCGTGCTGTATTTTTCTATCACTTTCTAACACTCTTTACAATTTATTTATAATTAGGACTATTCGTCATTAGCTGTCCCCTCCCACTACACTGTAAGCTCCTCAAGGCCCGGAATCTTTGTTTTGTTCACTGATTATCCTAGGACGCTGGCATCTAAATGGCCAATAAACATTTGTTGAATGAGTGATCAAATGAATGAACGAAGGAATGAATGGGAGTTGGTGACTTACCAGAGCCTGTCACCCACACCAGGATCAGGCAGCTCACAGGGAATGTGAGCCCAGAGCAAAGCTGCCCCATTGGGAGATCCTAAGATACCTGCTGAGAGAAAGTGACCCAGGTTAGTGCCAACAATGAGCCCTCTGTGTTCACCAGAGCTCGCTCTATCTATCTATCTATCTATCTATCTATCTATCTATCTATCTATCTAATTATCTATCTCTATAATCATGAAACACAACCCAGATGCAGAAAGCCCAGAATGAGATCCACAGAATGCCTGTTCCAAGAGACACTTGTTGAAAAAAAACCCATGACCTACCTACTAAATTTAAGCAACCCCTCGGACTTTTGGAAGTTCATAATGCACATTTGCAATGTGAGGCTCTGTTAAGTCCTGCAGCAAATAAATTTATTTTTCTTCATTTAACCCAACACTTACCAATTTATTTCCCTACTCAACCTTCATTTGTGGGTGTGTATGTGTGTGTGTGTGTGTGTGTGTGTTAAAACCCCAATTAAACCCCTAAAGATTCCTTGACATATACTTTGGAGATGTTAATCTGTTTAGCCTTATACAGCTGGTTAAATAAATGGTGGTATATCCATGCAATAAAAATGATGTTTGAGTGTGTTAGACTTATATCAATGGCCCCAATTCCTCACACCCCTCCTGGATCCATGTAACATTTCAATGCCTCCAGCACCACCACCCCTCTGGGGAGGGCGTTTGCCCCTGTCCTTGGATTATGGGCTCAACCATGTGACTAGCTCTGGCCAACTGAATATTAGCAAATGGATGCATTGTAGAAGCCTGCTTTTGCACGACCACTGCCTTGAGAACACGGCCGTGCTAGCCTGCGGGAGGATGGTGACATGGAAGAGTCCTAGCAGCCCCATTCCGCATTAGGCAACAGGCAGCCACCCCCAGTCATGTGAGTGAGCTCAGCAGCCGACCCGAGGCTGGCTGCAGGTGCATGGGTGAGCCCAGGGAGCTCAGCCAAGCCCAGGTAAGCTGGCCCGCCGGACTTGAGCTAAATAAGCATCTCTTGTTACATGCTCCTGGGCTTTTGAGCTTTATTGCGATTCCCCCTCAAGTCATCACCCCTCCACTCTGACTTCTAACCCCATAGATTACCTTTGTGTTTTGTGTTTCATACAAATGGAATTGTGCACTGCCTCTACTGTTAATGGCATCCCATAATACATGACTGGGAAATAAGAATCAGAAAGTACAGACACCCAAAATGAAACACAATTCAAATCCCCCCCAAAATCACAAGGCCCAGCAATAACCCCTGTATACATTCCTATCAATGCTTCCAGATTTGTATTTGTACAAATAGGGAGATAAATACGAATTTTATTTACCCAAATAGCAGCACCCTCTGCCCTACTAAAACTTAAACTTTAATATTTAATTGTCACTAAATATCATTCCATCCCGCTGTAGATCCAAAGCATCAAATTCGTAGTATCCCTCTGTGTGTCTGCCATTGGATTTTTAGCCTTTGTTTATTATGGCTTTGTTGTTATACACAGCATGGCGACTGTGCCCATCCTCAGAGAACCATCGCCACACATTTCTCTGATCCTTGCCTTAAGCTTATCCTTTTCTTTTTTTTTTTAAAGATTTATTTATGTATTTTAGTGGGGGGAGGGGCAGAGGGAGAGAAGGAGGCTCCCCGCTGAGCACAGAGCCCCACACAGGCCTTGATCTCATGACCTGCTCATGACCTGAGCCGAAATCAAGAGTGGGACACTCAACCAACTGAGCCACGCAGGTGCCCCTTATTTCTCTCTCTCTCTCTCTCTCTTTTTTTTTTAAAGGTATGTTATTGATCTTTTCTCGTATTACAAAAGCCACATTTGATCGCTGTGGAAAATTTAGATAAGAGGACACAGCAAACAAGTGAAAAGAATGCCTGTAATTCCATCACCTGGGAAAACACCACGGGTGACCTTTTTGCCTCCATTTCCAGTCTTTTCTGTGCATATCCAGTTAGACGGCGTGGGCTGGTACAACGTCTGCTGTTTCAGAGCCTGTTTATTTCTATGCCATGAAATACTGCTCCGCACCCCTCCTCACAACAATGTGTAGTGGGTTTCCTGGAGTTTAAACATCTGCTCTTGTCACTTACTCCTTGTCAGCCTTGAGCAAACTGCTCCATGCCTCGGTCTCCTACCCTGTAAAGAGGAGCTCGTAAGAGCTCCCATCTGACTGGGGTCTTGTGAGCACTAAAGGAGGTAACACAGTCACGGTCCAAGGAGTCACCACTCTTGTTAAGGAAAATGCTCAGAAGTAGATTCCCTGAGCGTTTACTTCTTCCCACAACACTCCTGGCACAGAAGGCCAAAGGGCTTCTCTAAAAGGCAAGGTACTGAGGTATGTTCCCAGCAATGCTGAAATCACCGCCCGCCCCCCCTCCGCCTCATGGGTCTCTATCTTGGCTTCCAGGCTTCCTTCTGCTGCTTGGTAGCTGCGTGCTGTTAAGCAGCTACCCTATCTTTCACTGAGTTCAATCTCCCAGGTGTACTGCGAAAAGGAAGTGAGGTGTGTACCCAAAGCACTCTGCACCCAGTGTCTGGAGCACAGGAAGGGCTTTATGCCCCTGTTGGAAGCTCTCCACTTGCAGGACCTCCCGGGCCGCGCCCTGCCTCCCTCTCCACCTGTCCCAGCACCTGTGCTCGGTGCTCCTGCCACCCGCACATCTTCACTTCCTCCTGCTGCCCTTCAGACACAGCGAACCCATTCCCACCTCCATACCTTTCCTCCTGTGGTCCTTCGCACTCTCTCTCTCATTTATTCATTTTATTTATTCATCTGTCCTTAACGGATAAATTACCCCATAATACTGCAGTGTATCTTTCAGAAAACCAGGACATTCCTTCTCCTATCAAGCCACAAGGCAACCATCAAAACGAGGAAATTAACACTGAGGCGTTACTCTCATCGGATCACAGACCCTACCTATTTCCACCTTGCTCATTGCGTCCATAATGCTCTTTTTAAGTCCAGGACCCAGTCTAGGATCATGTGTTACACCTGATCATCTTGCCATCCCAGTGCCCAGGTCTTGGCTTCGAGCAGCGCTCCACACCGAATGGAACGAGGGCTCCTTGAAGAAGGGGCTGACCCCAGGAGCAGGGAAAGTGCACGATAAGCCTGGAATCCTTGTGTCAGAAAGTAAGGACGCGCCCCAAGAATGGTGGGGACTTGTCAAAAAAGACACAGGAGCCAGCCAAAACAATGTCCACTGGCTCAAACGGGCACAACTGAAGCATCGCAATAAATATACAGTAACCGATTGTTAACTCTTGGAGTTAAACAGGGCGCAGGCATCTGTCCTGCTTTTGCTCAGCAAGTGGGGGGAAGGGGGTAGTTCCATGTCTCCGTGGCAGCCTCTAAGTATCTCCCCACAAGACTCATATTGCTTATTCATTAGTGAGTCAAAATACTTACTAACTTTACAATGTTCTATACTTTATACACAATACTTTATATAGAGATACAATTGTATATAACTTTATGTACAGAAACCTGGCAGGCACACCTTCACCAATCGCCAGGAACGGGACAAATCAAGGTCAGGAGCTTTCTGAAACTACCCCCCGAGAACACAGCTTGCTTCTCCGGTGTTCCTGCCCCAAGTGCACAAATTACAAGGAAGCATCAAACCTGACCGAGAATTGAGAAGAATCGAATCTAGAAAAGAATTGGCCTATGCTCTTCAAAACATGCTGGGGGTGGGGCGGGGTGTGGGGGCAAAAGGTGAGGACAGTGTGGGAGGGCTGCTTTTTTTCAATTGTCTGTCATCCCGAGAGCCAGCCTTTGTCTTGTTCGCTGCTGAGTTCCTAGTACCTACAGTGGTGCCTGGCGCGTAGCACCTGCTCAGTTAGTGCTCGTGGAATAAAGTCATCTTGGACGTGATGCGGGGCCTCTAATGGGCTCAGCACAGGACTGGAAACTCTCCCCAGGGGGGGAACCCAGGATCTGCTCAAAGCCCCAACTCACTTCTCTTGAAGAGTCACAGTGAAGAGCAAGGAAGGAGGGGTGGGAATGTGGTGGTGGACCCATGACGCTGGTGTCCTCTACAAAGTCCTGGTAACTTTTCCTCTGACAGGTTCACACATGCCCACAGCATCCTGCGGCAGAAATGGCAAAGGTGTCACTTTAGCTCTGATATTGAACAAAGAGAAACAGAGAGGGCAAGATAACGTGTACAAGGTCACACAGCAGAAGGGCTATTATGATAAAGTCAAGCCACCCAGGCAGGGGAGACTAAAACATCCCATCTATAGCAGACAGGGTTGCTATCTTTGATATCTTTCAGAGGGGAAATCCAAATGCACATCCAAATATGTGCATGCGGATGCCCATAACTGCCTGCGTGGCACGCGCACACATCAGCTGGCTTCACGGACAAGCGGGTGCTGCATTCAGGGGAAATCACAGCCCGCAACGTTCAGTAACAGAAGAACCTCCCTGAATATCAGAGGGATGGAGGACAAAGATGCAGATAAATAAAAGAAGTAAAAAAGAATAATTACCAAGTGCGTGAGTCAAGCATATGGCCAAGAGAAAATAATTTCAAGTTCACACTCTCAGTCATGGGAGTCCTGACCCACTGGAGTTGGCAGGCAACCCCAGGCTCCATTGCCAATCCAAACAGCGATGCCCTGCACACATTTTCTCTCTGCCAGGCTTGTCCACCATCTGCTCCCGCACCTCCCCGGATGCTCATCTCCAGGTCACGGCTGAGCAGAACTGACGACTGGAAACCGTTTCCTTAGGTCGAGCCAAAGATTCGTGTAAACAAAATCCCGCCTGTCAAGTACTTCATTGTGCTTGGCACTTAGCTAAGCGCCTTAGGAACATTATCTTATTGAATCTGCCCGAGAACCCTGCAAGATGGCCTGTTAATCCCACTTTCCATCTGGGGGAACTGAGGCCAGAGAGGTCAAGTAACTTGCCCATCAGGTCCCACAGCTGCCAAGAGGGGAGAGCTAGAGTCAGAACCCAGGTCTGTTGGCTTCTGAGCCCAAAGTGCATTCCAATACATCAGTGCCTTCACCTTCCCCTCGAACTACACAATGAACCC